ATGGGGAGAGAGTATCGTGATAACTGACCTGACAACACACACGCCGATAAATACTACACTACAAGAATCAAAGTAAAGTTTTCACACCAACGAAACAAAATAAAGATACTTACTTTGACAATCCCCAAGTACTGTTTCCGCTTTCGTTCCCTGTCTCTCTCTCTATAAATGTCCGCACGAACTTCTTCCTGAGAACGTCTTTCCGATTGTCGTTGCCGATCTGAACGGGGGGGAAAAAAAAAAAAACAATTTTTCTGACGTCCTTGCAAGTAGTCAGAAATTCACCTATTACTTTCTTTCAGGTTTTCTCGTTAAACTGAGTCTGTAATGACATCACGTTTGAAACAAAGCGAAAATTCTTATACTTACACTTCTTTTCTATTTCCTCGTCATCAAGGAGGAGGGACACGACCTCTTTAGGCTTAAGAGTGTCAGGTTTGAAGTTACCACCGCTGATCACCATGCGTTGAATCTGCAATGGAATCGAACATGGAAGGAACAACAAACACCAGAAATCATCTTGTACTAAATACAAGGAAGGAGTGGAACAGACTCTGGATTGTGTCCGATGGCGGCCTTGGCATTATTGACGATGGACTTTCACATTCTACTGCTACAGCATCAGTTAACAGCTAATTTTATGGTAATGATGATGATGATGATGATGGCAAGCTAAATATGGTAAGTCTCCCACGTAGTTGCCCAAGGCTACCCTCACAGCAGCAAAATCAAACGAGAGACGGAAGCACAACACAATGATGGGTGGGCCACCAAACACAAGGACTCCCATCACAGTACACGTGTCTTCTTCGCCTTCTTTCAGTCTCAGGAGCGAAAGAAGGCGAGGGGAAGACGACAACCAGAAGTAGCAACGACTATCTTAAACAAATGCACGGACGGTAAGAAGTGTTTGGCCGTGGACGATCGCATTGTAACTCACCTCACTCTTTTCTCTAGCTCTCTGCAAGATACGTTCTTCGATGCTTCCCTTGCAGATCAGTCGATACACTGTCACCTGCTTCGTCTGACCCAACCGGTGAGCGCGGTCCATAGCTTGCTGATCCACTGTTGGATTCCAGTCGCTGTCGTAGAAGATAACCTAACAGCATAGCAAAGCAGGAAAGAATAAGTAATGACTGTTTACAGTTTTACGAGCCTTGACCGTGGTCCTTCTGAGCATTAAAGTAAAGTACGGATATACTTGGTGTGTAATAAACCTCGTTATACCGCGAGTAAGACCACGTCACGTTAGATAAACGTTGTTTTCGCCTATAATGCGGGTGGTTAAAGTGTCCCCCATAACGTGGGAGGGCCTACCGTAGTCGCGCGTTTTAAAATTGAGCCCTTACATACCCTCATCTCCGTAAGCACAAAGGGTTACATTCTCGGGCAGTGCGTATGAACCGAGGGTGCCTTTTGAAGCCACTAAGATCAGATGTCGCTGAGTGATCACAAAGCTGACACCGAATGCTGATTCAACCTGGATGAAGAGCCTACCTGACAACACCAGCAAGAAAACGGGTGTTCCGAAAATGACGTCAGAATGCGACAAATACGAATATTCGATTTTTAAGAACAAGTACTCGGACATAATCAGCACGGAGAGGCGATGGACACTTTGACACCCGAAACTCGTCCAAAATATTATTTAGGAATTCATTCCGTACCGCAAAGAAAACACAACACTCCACGTGAAACATAGTTACCATGGCTAAAAAAAAATACATCTCACAAACGACGTAACAAGCAACCCTCAAGTAGGAAGTAGTGAGAGATCCACAGATGTCCTCAAGAGGTGTCGGGTATCACAACGGTCTACTCACCCCGCTCTCTCTTTATTGCAGCCACGTATCGGCTCTCGTTTGTGAGACCGAGTCGTGCCGATGTACTGTGAGGTTTCTGCAATTTCAATATAAATCCCATTCAGAATACGTGTACTGCTTACAACGCGATCCCACGACACGTTTCCGTTCAGCTCAGACTATACAGCGCCGAATAGCAGGATGACTGATTAATAATGAATGAGAAACGGTGTCGGAAGGAAGCCGTCGTAAGCTATTTTAAGGTACTGTGCCGGAACACGTCTGCAGGACTGAGGAAAATCACGAAGGACCTCGGAATAACCAGTCTCCGGGCCATGACGTGAACAGGTGACCTCCCGAATACGAACGATTCGGTGGCAATGCTCGGTTTTCACTTGACAGCTGAAAACTGTCTTCAGAATATCCTACGGATTCGAGTCTGGGAGCTTTGAGAGCAGAATTTCTGGACCATAATTACGTACGGGTTTCAGCAGCATGCACAACGTCACAACCTAAAAGACAATGATCGACGAACAAGCCAGCTAAGCAACTAAATTCGTCGCAGAAGAGTCCTTCTTGAGAAGCTAATGGCCGCTCAGCTGTTGTGGTCCACGAGCTGAGAATCCCTGTCGAGAAGTGGGAATATAATAATACGTTATTAAAACTTTGCCTGCCCCTGGATTCTAGACATGGACGTTTATAACCCAGCACTGTACACAAACTCCTTGACGTAACCCGAGTCTGTACTATTGGAAGCACGATGTCAAGTCAATTTTCCCGAGGGTCAGTGTCGCGGTCAAAAGACACGTGCGAGCATATCAAGTGACTAAGCCCTTTAAACCAGAGTGGTAACCACACGCACCATCTGATTTAACAATCAGTACCACTGCATTGTGCATTTCTTTTGTATGATTCTCGCTGTAAAAATCTTCGTAATGGTGAAATGTTGTGTTTTCTTTGCGGTACGGACTGGTTTCTTAATATTTAGATAAGCTTCGGCTTCAAAGGGGAAAACAGAAATGAATACGTAAACTCGATCACAAACCCCCAATAGCAAAAAATTACTTAAGAAACGAGGTATGGACGGAAGAATCTTAAAGAAACATGGCATAATGTAGCTTCCAAAGGCGTGATTTCGTGAGGAAATCTTCGTGTTCCGAAATGACATGAAAATTCTTGCCCACCAAGACAACTAATTGCAGTCGTTTGAAGGCAGAGCTGCTCCACGGGGGATCCTATCACTTATATCCCTGCAGTGTCGTGACGATAGGAAGGAAGCGGTCAGAGGTCATTTAGAGGATTTCCAGAAAAAGTATATCGATACCGGCAGGGCGGAAACCACAAGAAGCTCAGATCTCGTCCGGGCTGTCAGAAGCACCCCACCCGCATTTGAAGAGCAATGGGCAAGCAGCCCGCACTTCAGATTTCTCCCGCATGCGGACACGCGTGTTGCTGGCGATAAGGGGAAGAACACTATTTAATTTACATTCGCCTATAACTGGCTTGTGACACTCCTGTACTCGTCACGAAATAGCACTAATGCTTCTAAGTACAGGGACAACATATCTGAATGCAACAATACACACATCGACTGAACTTTTACTTCAAAAATAAAATAATAAATATGGATGTCTTCTGGGTTGTAGCGCCGCGTAGTCTGGTAGATGTTTAATGACGTTTCAGGGGTCTGAAACGTCTGTAAATTTCTACCAGACTACACGGTGCAAGGACCCAGAAGACAGCCCGCCATCTTCATACTCGGCGCCGTGAGAACCTCAGATCTCACATACCAAAATTAAATTCGTCCAACAAATTATAATAGTTCTACAAGCCCCTTATACCAAATTTCACGAAAATTCGTTCATTACCTTCGGACATGAAATGAGAACAGATATTACTCTTCATTACTAATTTCGTACACTTTTGCAAAAGCGTGTTAAAGCCGTAAGATTGGAAGCCGGGACCTCCAGAGAGGCGAAATCATGGCCGAGTTGTCCCCAAGAGCGGGGCTGAGTTAGCAACAGCACCTGACAGTTTCAGCTGCTACCTCTTGTACCACCGAGGCCTACCAGTAAGCATCTGCAGCCGGTATCTTGATTAAACTCGGAACTACACAAATTGAGGCAACTCGTAATATAATTAGTTCATCAGCTGACAGCGACCCAACTTATCACTCATGAGTTTAATCTGATTCTACACAAATTATTAACTGCCCATTCAGAAAACATATCAGTGAAGACGACTGTCTTCGATTCCCGGTAGTTTCCTCTTGCTTCCGTGTCCAGACCTTACCTGGGGTCCACACATCCTCCCACAAAACGTGTACCGGCAAGAATTTCCCCAGGAGTAAAGTGGCCGTAGCGTGAATCTAACCATTCACTTCATTCCAGTGCCGAAGTTAATTAGTGGAACTATACTTCCATGCTACCTTGCGTTTTCATTACAACATAGTTGCTAGTATGTCTTCTGTCTAAAGAAATGAACCCTTAAGGGCGGCATTAACAAGGCGTGTTAAAACCTATCTACTAAATAAATGTAACGACATTTGTTATCCACATTACCAGTTTCCCGAAATGTATCCATCCCTAGGATTGAACCCAGACTAGAAATGTTTTTTCTCATTCACAGTAAACGGGCAATATAAATCCGATTTCAAATTACCTTAATATTTAAATAAAAAAATACATAAATACACTTAATACAATACTGAAGAACATATTTTATTTCATGAAACATCAACAATATGATACGTCAACTTGTTTCAAATTCAATCTGCCAACAACCCAATAAAAAATCTATTTCTATAAAACCCATTATTTCCGAGACCACACTAGAATTATTCATCGTTGTACATCAGAATTTAATAGTGGCTTTTTAGTTTATAGTTTAAACATGTTTGAACGACCAACGAAAAAAAAGAGACGTTTTTCGATTAGATAATAGCAACACCCCCCCCACCCCTCAACGATCGATCACTTCATCTAACACGATGATGTTTCTAAGGACGGACGGACAGACGCGGACTGATCAGCCAATTTCGTCCTTTTTTTATATTCCCCACCGTTTTTTTGTTTTATTATTCTGTCCACTCAACCGACATGCAGTCAGAGGGGGGAGGGGGGGGGACGCACAAAAGACTAGCGGCCAAAGCAGGCACGGGGCTGGATTGCCATTACAAAAATTAAAACAAAAACGAATCGACAACGACACTCACAAAACCTCCTCCCCTCACCCATTCAATTTAATTCGAGTACATTTCCACGCCCTTATTTCAAAATTAATTACGATAAATCAGCGATTACATCGCGAAGTAACATTTTCATTATTTCTTATTTCGCTAGTCAAAATTTTAGCTACAGTTTTATTTATCAGTGTAAGAGACTCTATTTCATTCAATCTTCCAGACGTTACGTTAGGCTCCTCAGATGGGCTCAAATGTCTTGGAGAGAAATTTTTAATTCCCTCGGGGAATCAGATCCCTAATTAAGATCCATGAAGCACACACCAGCCCCTTGTATCAGACAGTGGTAAGTGGTAAGTTTCACGCTCCGGTAGATTTATCCCAATACTCATTCGAGAGGAGACTAGTTTAAACGCGGTGAAGGGAAAATCCCTACCGAAGCGCCTATCGGGAATTGAATCCCAGAACGTCAGAGCAAAATAGGTCAGCAAAGGCAAATGTGATACAACTTTTGTGATCAGGCCATACAAGGGGGAACCAAAGCCGCTAATAAGCACAAAACATGTGATATGACTGGCACATTTTCCAGTTTCCGCCCGTCTCGGTAAATAATACAGAATGGCTGTAAATGGCTCATCAACGGAGTCGATACCACAAATCAGCTTTCATCTGTCAGATTCCCAGGCTTCTGCAGAGGGAAGAGTCGATAAATTACGAAACTTTACGGCACTGGCAACAAACAGAAACACACGACTGTGACGAATTTATATAAAAAAAAATATCACAATGACAACCGTAATGAGTTACCACACCAACCAATCACCACAAATTTTATCTCTGGCCCACAAATACCCCCCCCCCAAAAAAAGTAGTCTGATTTATGGACAAATAAATTAAATATTCAACGTACATTTCTATCGAATTAAAGGCACTGAACAGACTCTCACTGCAAAAAAAGCTTGCGTAATTTTTCTCAGTGTTTCTTTAACCAACAAACTCCAGAGAACCACGTAAATGCCAAATTCAGAGAGAAGGGCGAAACACGTAGCACGCATGGGTGGTATGAAAAATATATACACACCGTCATCCACGAAACCCGTACGGAAGAGTCCACTT